AGAGTCGTCAAAACACCGGCGGAATTCACAAAATTTTGCGAAACATCGCGAGAAGGACCGAATAGCCTCCAGAGACGTCCATTCGCAAGCCGTTAAGTACCAATTTCCACGCCCAGTTTTGGAAAGGTGCGTGCACTTTGCTCAAGCTTTATATGTAACTTGTCCAGCGTTTCTACCCACAAGCAACGGAACGACAAGGGAGTATAGACAATGCGACGTTTGGCTTGCGGCTCTGCCAGCCGTCCTAAGCCTAGCAAGCCTATCAGAGGAATCTTATACCAGCTAGTACCAACACCCTCAGAGCACACAGGTACGGGGGCCGCATTGGCCTCATCAACCGAGGATTTTGGCCCGCATGCCGCTGGGCGCAGCAGCAGGGGGTTGAGGATTTGGCTGCGCAACGGGGCCGCGGGGCTAGGGCTAGGGATTGCAGGGTCTTGGGGTTTGGTGTTGGGGGTTTAGGTATGGTACTTGTATGAGGATGACTCATCCTTAAACTTGATCTCGCACAGGAACCTCAAAACTGAACGAACACCGAAAGCCGCGAAAAACACGAATCCTATCCGAGCCAACCCGAATTCCCCAAACCCGGCGGTGTTTGGAAACAGGTTTAGGCTTGCAGCCACAGGCTGCCGTAAAGCGGGTGGTCATAGTGGGATCCGAGTTGTCACCGTACTTGGAGCGGATCCAACTCATGCTGTGCAGGGTGCTTTTGATTCGTCGAGCTGGAGCTTACACTTGAGTTTAGATATGTATACCTATAGCCTATAGCTCTATTTGTTGAAGGGTTTGGGCGACTGCAGGGCTCCCAGGTCTGAGGTTGGATAGACCCAGAGATGGGGATTCTTACAGTTCGGTTTCCACAGAGGTCCCGAGGTGATTGCTGTTGAACCGTGGGGGTCTTGCAAATCAAGTCACGACCTACGAGCAGAAGCCGCCTTGCCCTACTTCAAGAGTATTATTATTATTATGATTATTATTATTAATTATGACTATTAATTACTATTATTCATTACTATTACTATTATTATTATTACTATTATTATTGGTACTACTATTCGTGATTATTGTTATGATGCTACTTCAAGAGCTTGTGTCCTGCGCGCAATGTTGAACTTTCGGGCTCGCGAGGCCCAAGGGCTGATTGGCTGATTGGTGTTCGAAAGGCATTTTGTCAAAATACGTCGGCGAACCAAAAACGCTGCACCAATATCCGGAGGCTTTCCATAGAGCGTGTGGGAGGTTCCTGATTCCTTGTGGGGAGACTCCATGCCCCCAAAAAGAAAGGAAGCCGCTGCCCCGAGCATGGCTGAATGTCCGCAGCCCGATGACTCCTCGTATGTCCCAAGTCCCGGTCCCTACCCACGCCCTCCCTGAATACCAGCTCCGAAGCAAGGTTACAAGGAAGTTTGTTACAGAGTTGGGCTTGGAGGTTTGCAGATTGGCGATGACCCCTGTGAAGGTATTCAGACTCGGCTTGTGGCTAATTTTCTGGTTTCAGTTCTAGCGAGGCAGGTTTCAGAATCCTACGTCCTGAAGCACTCAAATGCCTAAAGCCCAGCCATACGCAGCATATTCATGATCCCAACATCCCGAACCGTGTACCCAAAACTGGATCTAGTGAACAGTTGCAGCCTTTCCAGCTGGCATGTGTATCGAGCCGAGGTCACGCATCCTTTATCAGTCAGCTCATTCTTTGGGCCTGTTCCTTCGTTGGGTCGGGGTTTCGGCTTGAAAGCTTCAGCTCATTCCCTGGACATGTTCCCTAGCTTTTGAGGGTTTGGAGGGTTTGGGTTTCCGATTGTTTAGGGGTTCGGGTTCCGAGACCCCATGCAAAGCGGTCTAGGGCTTGTGCAAAACGCAGCCCATGCCCTTGCAATCTGCGTTTGCCCCTGGCAGTAGCACAACGTCATGGTCTTTGTCTCCTTGTCATCGAGTCAGCAAGACCAACATCCTCACTTTTGTAGGGGTTGACCAGGCCTCCTTGCAAGCAAGCCTGGAGCAACAGTAAGGGTTGGCAACAACTTGCAGCACAGCAGCTCTTACGACAGCTTGGGATCACCCCTGTGCCATGCTAACTCCTTCGGGGCTCATTGCAGGGTCTTCCTTCCCCTACTATCGGCTCTGCAAGAAGCAGCTTCGAGATTTTGTGCGATGTACCTCAGCCGTGTCCGATTTTTTGCGGCAGCACTGGTGCAATCCGGCAACCTCCGCCTTCCATAACGAAGCAGCACTGGCCCTTTGGCCCCTGCATCACAGGAGTCGAAACCCTCAAACCCATCCGGGTGACTTGTTTAAAAGGGCATTTCTCCTACGAGCTAGAGTTCCCGCGTACATCCCGAAGGCTTGTTTGCCAGCCTCGTGCTGAGCATGTTCGCTGATGCCCCCAACGTCATGCTCATCGAGAAGAAGTTTGCCATCATGTGCCTGCTCATGAGGACCCGAAATGAAAGGCAAAACTCAAACCCTAAGCACCGACGCGCACCGAGAACCTCGTCTGGCAAGTCCGAGTTGCGAGAGCGTAAACCCTAAGTCCCCGCTAAGCCCCAAACCTTACTTGTTTCACGCCGACCCCGCACCAAGAACCTCGCCTGGCATGTCCGAGTTGTGAGAGCGTAAGCCGCGAAGCCCCAAAACAAGTCATGGCACCATGACCTGCCAGGATCCATGGGCCTTACCCGTTTTGGATGTAGAGTTTTGGGCTGAGGGTGGGAGTTTAGGATTCTGGGGGGTAGGAAGTATTCAGCCCTGAATTCGCAGCCATGGTTCGTGACTGATGGCATGAACATACCGCTTCATTTCTGGCGAAGATACAGATGCGCACATGCTATGGCCAATAAGCCCTACATGCATGCGTCCGGGATTATGGCGCCGGTAGAAGAAATGCATGTTGTCTTGCCCCGTATGGAGGAATGCACCCATTGCCACGAAGTACGCATACTGTTCCACAGAGACGTGGACCAAGTTCAACACGGAGATTATCGCTGACAAGTACAAGACGTGGTTGGGCAAGGATGGGTGTATCAGGGTTGAGACTGCAGGGTTTGGAACACAAGGCTGTAGAATTTGGGATCATGAAGCAAGACCCCAGTCGAGACGGCTCATCTTGTTTGTCTGGGTTCGAAAGCAGGAGCGGCACAAGCTTGCCCTTTCTGAGTCAATGGTCAACTGTAACATCACCTCCGGAATGTAGTCAGATGAAACTGTGATCCTTGAGGATGCCGGGGACACATGTGGAACCCATATCGTCCCTACTTACAGCCCTCTTCAACACGTTACTTGCGAAGCCCTGTGACTTCCCAGATTACTAGTCATGCTCCCATCAACCGACTTGCAAGCTGAAACCATACAACAACTAGAGCCCTTAACCACGAAGCCACAACACTCTGAAGCATTGCCCAGGTTCCAAAACATGCTTCCTGGTTGGTACGTCATCCCGGAGGAGAACCTGGGCTCTTCTTAAGGAATTTAGTTTAAAATTACCATAACAATGGATCTGTATCAGTAAGTAAGATGGTTTCCTTATTATGATAGCTTAAATTAGATCCCTTAACAAGAACCCAGGAACTTCCAACTTCAAGCAGAGGTCGCCTTCGACTCTTGGCATAGAGTTGTATGATTTGAAGATCAGAGTTTAGGGATCCTGAAAGAAGTTCTGTGAAGAGGTGCAGACGGGCTTCTGCAAAGGGTTCTCAAGGGATCTGTAAGGGTATTAGAGCTGTGTAGTGTGCAGTGTGATGTGGTGTGATGAAGCATGATTTGATGTGATTGCACGCATGCGCATACGTATGGCATGCTTTTTCGGTCTAGATGTACGCATGTATGTATCTTATATTAAAAGTACATCTTGAAGCAACGTCTGACAAGCTTCAAAGAGATGTGTGCAGATGCACATGCAACCGAGCCATATACAGTGCCTACAAAGTCACGGCATCCTAAACCATAAACCCTAAACCCCTAAAGCCCCCAAAGGCTCAAAGCCCTGAGGTTGGTGTTATCGGCTCCAGAGCACAGCGCAGCGCCTCGGCTGAGGAATGAGACCTGAGACTCGAGGGTACTTGGCGTAGCCGGCAGGGGCTTACTGGCTTCCTGTGAAGGGATTGAATGTAAGTTGGCACAATGAATAAGCGGTATTATTTGCTTTAGATTTAGATACCTATTACACTTTTAGGAATGAGATTTATTGAAAAAATTGAAAGGTGATATGGGTGCTGTTATGGGTTGTTGCGAGGTATTTGGCATGTTGAGCAGGATCCTCGTGCTATGAGGAGCTGAGGATAAAGATGCTTAGTAGACTTATTCCTTGTCTGAAAGGTTCTTTGATCAAAAGTAGGACACACGAGCTACATGATTGAGCTATCAACATTAGGGGAAGCACTGGGTTCCTGAAAGGATGTTCTCGGTTGTTTCCTTTTGTCGCATTTAATTCCTTCTCCCTTTTTGAGAGCAGGTCTTCTCCCGCTCGTTCGTAGCCCCATGTCAAACACCTCCTAGCATTACATGATGAGTTTCCGGTTTAGGGTCGTAATTTTGTCTAGGTTTCTATGTAGTCACAGTTTCTTGATGGGAGCTCTGCTATACTGGCAGTCAATCCAGTTCGCGCGTAAGGACAGGGTTTGGGGTTTCGGGTTCGGGTTCTGGATTCGCCTTTCCGGCTGTGGGTCCTGTCTTTGGGTGCCGGCTGTGGTTCGAGGATTTAGGTTTTACTGCTACGGCTGTGGTTTGTTATATTGGTTGAGACTTGGCGAGACCAGGAAGCGACCGTGCACGATACCCCAAGACATTATGATCAATGCTCACAGCCGAAGTCTCAATGCGTACAGCATGTTTTCAGACTGCCATGCCGCTCAGTCTGGAGTAAATGCCCCACCGGAGTGGTGTGTATAGACTCGTTTAGACGTTGGCATAAACATACAGCCCCTATTCCCCCTTCTCACAGCTCAGGAGAGATTACCGTGAAGTTTCTTCCATGGCCGCGGAGTGAATACGACTTGCTTTCGATGCGCAAGCGTGTGGATGTGTCAAGCAAGACTATGTTCTTCGTTCCTGGGCTGCATGTGGCAGATGTGCAGACCTCTACAGGCACGTAGGATCACTTGAACTTGTAGTCAACTAGACCAGGAGAAGAACTGGACACAGGACTCGTTGCGGACAGGACGTTCAGCTACTGCCGGCAACGACGACAAACATCCCGCAACCCACCACTGCCAATGTGTCCAAAAATTCTATCAAGCTGTTGCGGGTCTTCGCTTGCGTGTTCGCAGATAGTCTGATTCTCCTCGAGTGACGGATCTGCTTCAATCAATAGTGACACTCCTTATTCCGGTAGCCATTTTATGGTACTGCAGTACCCACATGGCAAGCCTTACGGGAATACTGTACCCCTGACCGTAACCTTCTGATAGCCCTATAGTATCCTTACAGTCAGCAACCCTTATCAACTTATCAACCCTGATTGGGCTTTTTGCGTTCTTTCTTCTGCAGGCTCCTACAGGCGAGCTTCTCCGACCCAATTCTCGCACTCGAAAAGCTGCGCGGCGGCGCATCGCCGCCTGGCACCTCGGACGTGGCATCGAGTGCAGCAGCCTGTGCTTTTGGAGTCTGTCGGCGCAAGGGTTAGGGTTAAGTCAGGGGTCGGGTCGTCTCCGGGTTTCGGAATTCGGGTTGCAGAGTGTTGCCTCGCTGCCGCCGAGTGTGCTGATCCGCTTATGCACTTGCTCATCTTCTGTTGTGCTACTCCTTGTGGTGCTCTACGCCACCACATCTCTGAACCCAAACCATCTACATCAGGAGGTCGCCGGCTTTGCAGCGTTTAAACAGAAACTGGAATTTACACCCTCAAGCAGGAGCCTAGAACCCGAAGGCGTGAACCTGACTCCGTATAAATCCTAAGCCGAGGCCCTCAAGCATAAACTTCCCTAAACTTCAACCCGGAAGTAAGACCCGAAACAGTGCAAGGGTTTATTGCTAGACTCTGCAAGACTTAATTGACCCCATACCCCAAAGCCGGAGCCCTTTCTGGCTACCGCTACGAGGTCGAAGATGGAGGATGCAAATGGCGACCACCGAGCTGTGAGCATGGAGATGACCAGGTCGAATATACGGGGATTGTCTGGTTTTAGAGTCGTTCTTTTGCAGTATACAAGGGTTCTATAAGGGCATTGGCGCATTGGGCGTCGGGAGATTGCAGGGTGGTCTGTGATGTAGGTGGGCTTTCGGGCGCGCGGAGGTCGGAGTTCCAGATTGAGACAGGATCTGCAAGAGGAATCTGGGGTTCAGGGTTTACTGGGTTGGGTTCAAAAATTGAACAGCTAGCACTTCTAAGAATGCCCGCCTACTCCCTTTACAAAATGCCCCAACGGCCGATTCTGAATCAAGGCCCCTGCAGGGCCTCGGGTCCCAGCATTTCAGAAACTCCCAGAAAAGAGCCTCCTCCAGAGTAAGAAATCCGCTTTTCCTGCTAGTTGTTCGCCGGCTGCTTTGAGCCATTGGGCCATGTTGGACCTTTGGGCTTCATGAGAGTTTGGCCCTGGATCGTAGACGACGCCAAAAAAAAGAAGCCCAGGCCTTAAGACTTGAAATTGAGGCTTGAGACCTCACTTGGCAAGTCCGAGTTGTGAGGGCGGTGTGTGAACCGTAAACTTGAGACTGTAGAAGCGCTGCAGACAGGGACAAATTGGAGGCAGACTCGCCTCCTGGTTTGCACAGCCCTGGTTTGGGTTCGGGGCTGAGGAGTGGTGATTTCGGATCCGGCGTTGAGGTGCTACATGTAGGAGCTGAAGGTCAGAAACTGGAGAGTTCAGGAGGCGAGGGTTTACGGTTTGGGGTTGGGAGTTTGGGGCCGGCGGACTAAGAGTTTTGGGTGGGGGTAGAGGAGTTTGGGGTTTGAGTTAAGCCACATTAACCCAAACCTCACCTGTTCTAACTATGAAGGCGCCTAGATATTAAACAGCACCGCCCGCATTATATTGGAGTGTAAGCCCAAAATTCGAGAGCAAGCCAGCTTCGGGATCCCGTTTTGATCCACATCCACCCAAACACTGAGTACTCACAGCTCGTGTGCCGTAGGTCGCCGAGCTGAGGTTTTCAGCTTGATCGTAGCTGGAATTCCGTCAAGGAGGCAGTTGGTAATTAAGCAAACCCATACAAGCTCCCTAGGAGAGCTTCTTGCTTACTGCCGTGGTTGCAAGATCATGGGACCAAGGGCGAGATCGATCGGCAAGCTGAGTGCCTTGCCTGCGGTGCATGCAAATTGGGGGTCCGCACGACCTGAGCTGAGACCCTGCACTCTAAAGCCAACCGAACCCCTGCCTAAAGTCTGGAGATACCCTAGATCTCAGACTTTCTACACCCTCTGAGCCCCAAACTTTGGCTTTGAGCCAGGGGAATATGTCTTATGCCAATCCGTCCTTTTCACAAAGCAGAACCCGAGTTTATGCATCATTGTAACCGCTATTAAGCCCCAGCGGTTTCTCTTCCGGCCGGAAAGGAACCGCCTTACAATCTGCACAATCCGATCGGCCAACCTCGTCGAGACCTGAGTTGCTCTCCGACCGCTGTTCGGACCGTGTGCCTACAAAGTATATTCTCGAATAAGCCTTATGGAGGTATTTGTAATGCAACTCTAGGACAAACGTTCCTTTTGCATGGGTACATAGACCGTCAGGGCTCGGGGGCTGTAGGAGATTTTTCGGCTTTCCCGGGTTGTGGAAGGCTTGCCCAATGATTGATTCATTATCTCTAGGATTCCATTGGTTGCACAGCATTGCCTTTACAGAGCCCATGGATGTTTAAATTGACTTGCGAGGGGCTCTTGTGCAATGTTTTCGTCAGGCTTCTGGAGGCTCCTCAGTCGCTACGAGCTTCAACACAGCCTCGGTAACATGTGTCAGGCTTTGCATCCCCTATGCAAGCTCGGGTTCCCAACAGTTGCCGGCCATGGAAGGCCCTAGCCTTTTTGCCCAAGACAACGAACCTTGTTTTTGGCGGTTCTGGCGCTGGGTGTCTTGTTGATAGTTGATGATTGTGTCATTGTTTAAGTAAGGGAGGGAGTCTTCATCCCCTCTAGCCCTGAGCCTTAGCTATACTACGCGTTACAGTAGTAGCAGAACTCCGAAGGACCCGTGCGAAGGAGAGCTTGAACCACAGGAGAACCTGAATTCTTTAAGTCCGCAGCTCTGACTCCTCCTAAAGAGCTTTCATACGAACGACCATATACCAGCGCTCAAAAAGCCTTGACTCCTTTGCCCTCGAGACCTAGAGATCTAGGAAGAAATATAGAGGCACACAAAGACGTAGAGCCTCAACATGCCTCAACCCAACGCGCTGATTCCTAAATCCCGCCGGGGTAGGGTGACAAGCCGATGCAGGATGCAACGCAATCCGGGTCTAGTGACTGGTCCCTGGCTTTTCCTCAAAGGCCCCGTGAAGATGCGAAAGAAAAGAGCTCGAAAGACCTGAAGCTGGAGGACGGGTTCTGTAGTGAGAATTTGCACAGGGGTTTAAGGTTAAGGGTTAAGGGTTTTGAGCGGTGGGGAGGTGCAGTTCTGATTGTGTGCCTTCCGGGAACTAGCATCGACTTAGGTGAACTCTAGCCTTGTGTGAACCTTCTTCACACCTAAGCGCTTTGAAACGCTCAACCCACATCCTGACCCTGAATCTAAACCTATTTGTGAATCCTGAACCCTAAAATTCACACCCCAACTTCCCGAAGGGTAGAGAACAGCCTTTGTGCACCTCGGAGCCCCCGAGGAAAAGCAAGAGGCGGAGCGCTTGAAGCAGGAGCAGTTGGAGCGAGAAAGGAGGCTGTCCCACTGGGTTCTTGTTACGGTTTAGAGTTTCGGGGTTTAGGGTTTAGTTGTTTAGGCGTTTAGGGTTTAGGGGTTAAGGGTTTAGGGTTTAGGGTATATATTCTTGTTAAAGAACTCAGTTTAAGTTACCATCATAATAGGGCTCTACAGTAAATAACATGGACTCCTTATTATGGTAACTTCTATTGAATCCCCTAACAAGAACCCAGCAAACTCCCCTTCTTTCTCTCGTGGCCACAGCGCTGTTGAGATTCAGCGTTGGGTTTGGGGTCGGGCTTCAGCGATCATATCAGGGTTTGCAGTTGTGGACAGGAGTGTCCACCGGCCCTTTAGAGGGTTTAAGGCGGGGTGCACAGGAAGAGTTGCGCAGTGCACCAGCAGCATGTGCAAAAAATGCTCTAGATGTCAGCCAGACCGTCCGCATGCACACATGCTTGCAGCGCGCGGGCTTGCGGAACCTGTATTTAAGATACCTGATCCGACGTATAAAAAGCGTCAAGCAGCAAGTCAAGCACATGCCTGGAAGGACCTTTCAGGCAAAGTCCTCCAAAATCTCCTGAGGCTCACAATAATCCGAGACCCAAAACCTCCGGAGGCTGTTCAAGACCGCCGAAGCTGGTGGAGAGGTTAGTATTGAGGACCTGCCTCTCGGCGAAGCAGATTCTGCTAAGGACCTTCATCGCCTGGCGTCTCTGAATGTACCTTCCGGTTTTGGAGGAATCTACGGTTTAGGGTTTCAGGGAGCAACCGTACTTGCGCCACAGGTGGGTTTCAAGGCGGCTTCAGTGTCAAGTGCGGACATGTCAGGGTGTGTGCCATTGAATGTTTCATGGTATGTGTCACAATTTCACAATTTGTAATGTCTTCGACGCGGTCGACCCCAAAGACAAGGCAACACACTTTAGCGCAGTGTCTTGGATTGTCGATTGCTTTAGCTCAAAGCCGGCTGTATCAGAGGCCTTCAGCCGAAGCCCTAAATCCCAACAGCGTGTGAGCGCCGAAATCCCAACAAGCTCATCTTGAGTGAAGCTGTAAGCCCCAATGCAGGCTCAAACCCCAAACCCCCAGAACACCGCCACCCCTGCAAAGAACCCCCACAAACCCTAGAAGCATAATTACCCCAAACTCCCTCGAGGTTCCTCTACTTCCTTCGTGCGATCCAGCGAAGCGAAAAGGCGAACTCGGGTAGAGATCGGGAGGGGCTTTGGAGGTTTGGCTGTAGGCTTTAGGCGTTCGGGGGATTGTGACGAACTTTGTTCGGAGGGTTCCGAGGAGGTGAAATGCTACCATGAATTGGCGGTGTGGGGAGGGTGAGTTTGCATTCTAGACTTTAGGACGCATTCAAGGTGCAATGATTTCGGGCCTAAGTAGAGCTACGTTGTACTTTGGATTGAGGGTTGCTCATCCCCTTCGAGCAGCTTCGGGGTTTGGGTTTCTGCTTGGGCCGAATCCGAGCAGGAGCACGAGTTTGGGATTGGTCTATAGTGTACCCACCGGAGTTTAGCCTCTGTTTCTTCGTTAGAACGATATGAGATACTCCAGGCTCTTGTCCTTTTGTTGTTTCAATTGCTTCGTCTGAGCATTCCCCATGCAGCTCCCAACATCTCCTCATAACCAGCTGCTGCAGGTGGTTATTCCTCCTTGTGTCAGGATGCCTCTGACCTGCATTGGCTGAGGATTTAGCTCCGAACTGACCACTGGCCCAAACCTTCATACCTAGTTGGGTTTGGATCCCTATATAGGAGGCTGCAGATTTCCAGCTTAGTTTGGGAAAAATTGAACTGCAGTACACCAGGACTACGATCAACCTCTGGTAAGTTTTCGCTTAGGGTTCCGTATCTAGGGCTTGCAGACTTGTGGCTTCGACACTGCTGCTTTTCGCAATCTAAAGCCAGATCCAAGCCTATCCCAAGCAACTTAACACCAGAAACCCCTATGCCCGGGCTTTGAGCTCCGAGTGATTGTGCAACCAAAACATGCCCAAAGTCTCAGGCCCCAGACCTGACGAGCTCCACCCAGCCTTCGGGCTGCGGGCTTTGAGGCTTCAAGTTTCACGTACGACTGCTCTAAAGGCTTTAGGGTTTAGGGGTTCAGGGTTCAAGAGAGCTTCAGGGCTTCGAGGCGGAGATGCTTTGCACAACTCCTGGCAGCTCCGTCAAGGACGCGTAGCAAGAATCCTAAATCCAGCAAGCTCAAACCTTCGGCACGACCGAAAACCCCACCCTAGAGTTCCAGATCTTAGATCGCAAGCCAGGAACTTAAATCCAGTCCCTGTGACACCCCCACCTTCCAACACCCTAAGCTCGAACGGCAAAACCCGAAAGATCCGACAAGGAACCTTATCCTCACCTTGATCGCAATCTTCATTCCTTCCTTCCTGCGCTTGCGCAACGGGGGCTGGTTCCTGGGTCCAGGAGCTCCCCGGGTGCTTTTTACGGCTGAGGCTCTAAACGTAAGCGCTCTTAACCCTAAGCCGAAGGGCAGAAAGCGCGAAGCCGGCGAGGCTAATATCTGGACATCCCAGACTTTGAAACCTCATGGTTTACTTGAGGACGCACTTCCAGCTTCAATGGATGTAAAGATTTAGGGTTTAGGGTTTTTGGTAATGCAGTTTTCGTAGAGCTTGGATCAAGCTTGCGAGCTCTTTCTGGGCTGAAAGTGCGGAGGTGCACAGTGCGCGCTGCCCAGAACCAGCTCCAGAGGGCTTTTTGAGATGCGGCTTGTGGCTCCTTCCCTGCGTAGCTGCGAGAAATCCAACCCCAAGCCTTACAGTGAACCCCAGAAAGTTGGAACATGGGTTTAGGAGGATTCGTGCTAGGATCCCTTATACTTCACCTTAAGGGCATGAGGAGAATGATGTTCCAACTTTCTGGCTTCTACCATAAACCGTCGGACTTAGAAGGGGTGCAGGGTAAGACACGGTGGAGCACAATTACCACCTTCCCGCTTTTCAGATACGGCGTCGGCAGTGCTGGTGGTGGGCTTCTGGCCATCCAACTTTCTCTGAGCCTTTTCTGAAGCGATCTATCGGAGTTTTTGGGTCACTGTTCCCTAGGATGGGGCCGGGATCGGGTTCAAGAGTTGTCTCTAGTGTGGTCTTGAAACCTTGTATTGATGCCAGACCTAGACGCGCAAGCTTTAACCGTAAACCCCTACTTAAGTCTAGTATGTCTCAGAAGGCCACTGATCCCCACATGAAGCCCCTAAGCCCTAAGGCATGTTATCTTCCTTGAGTTTTATTGCCGTCGGCGGCGTGGACATGTGGAGGAAGCCTTGCAGCATTTGGCCCCCGTGGCCCGGGCTGTGGTTGGTTCAGGGTTCCGGGTGCCAATTTAGGGCTTTGGGGTTTCGGGGGGCTTGCAGGTCCTACTGTAGGCGTCAACAGACGGGTTTAAGGCTTAGGAGTTTGAGGTTTGCATGCACATAATCCGTAAGCCCCGAGACTCAAGCAATACTGTACACTCCGTTCTGTCTTCCTCAAGCCCACTGTCAAAGACGTTCTGGTTCTGAGACGATATCACCTCCCAGTCCCTACATTATCCTGTACCGTGTGCACCAAAGCCTTCTTCCAAATTACTGAGGCCCCTACATTGCATTCCGTAACAATCGAACATTGTGTCCTAACATTGGGGTCTTGGAGCTCTATTCTTTTATTTCTTTTAACCCCAGACTGAATATGGCCGAGAAAAGCCAAATCCGAAACGGTACTAAGCCCAGACACCCAAAGTTCCAGACTTGGTAGGTAGGTTCGAAGCAGGGCCTAAGTACCCTGGCTTCGCTTCTTATACAATCTTTTGCTGAGTCCTCTCTTCTGTTTGGCAGTTTGATTGGAGTGGCTCTAGGATAGATGCTTTCGGGGTTTCGAGGTTTAGGCCTTGGGGTTGTCGGGTAGCATCTGCTAGGGCATAAGACACAATCGCCAAACTGAATGCACAGATCGAAAGCCGGTTTCGTCGAAGGCCCTCTCAAGCTTTCATCAGAAACCGCGGCATCTTGCGATGCCCACGAAAACTTTCAACTACCGCACGAGCTCGCAGACTCCAAAAGGCAGCATGCCGTCGGAAATCTCAAGGACATCCTAACTGATGTCCCAAAGTGTCGACGTAATATCCAAGACCCTACAGCCGAGAGCCCTGCAGCGGAGGCTGCAGGCACTGGTGGCGAGGTCGTGCATTCTCTCACTCCCGATGCGAATGCTTGTGCATTCCGTGTTGGTGGGCAGGTGGCTCACTATGGCACGGGCTGGAGCAAGCGACGTGGAAGGTTACTTCAGAGCATTCACTCTGGCATGGGCAAGAGCAAGCGACGCGGAAGGTTACTTCAGAGCGTCCCGCTGGGGAATTGCGCTTGGCGACAGGCATACTGTGCCCGATGGATTGGTGGGCAACGGTTTTCCTGGCGGTTCCGTCGCCCCAGAGCTCTATGGCGCAAGCGAAGGCGTCCCCCTGCTAGCATGCGTCGTGCTTGGCGATGCCAACGCCGCCTAGCTTTGGAGGCCAAGAGTGACACTGATGAGAGTGTTCAGACTACGCAGCCCCCTCCTGTTCGTGGCTGCGGTGGCTGCTTGCATCGACTTGGGCGCCTTTTGCGTGCTGGCTGCGGCTGCGGAGGGCCTGGATGGACACCAGTTCGCTCTTCACGTTGTTGGCGACGATTTCGCTGGCAGCTCTCTCTTCGGCCTCCTTGGTTGAGTTGCTGCCTGTGGACATCGAGGACTGCTGAGGGCTCCGTGCAGGCTTCTAGTTGTGTAGGAGGCTCCCCGGGTTCAGGCCCCCTGCGCGCGGCGGGGACGCGAGGACCCCAAGAGTCTTCCAATAAGGCGGAGGGGACGCGAGTACCCCGTGAGTGGTTCAATACGGCGGAGGGGACGCAAAGTCCCCAACAGATTGAGATCAGTGCGGAGGGGACGCCAAAACCCCAACATACGATCAAGAGCCTGCGAGGCCATGGGTTTCGAGGCTTTGTGCGTGGTCAGGCCGAGGTTCAGGTTCCAGGTGATGGTGACTGTAGCCCTCCGGGGCTTAGTGCCCAGAGCTTGTCCTGCGACCTTGCCTCGCCTAGCCATGGTCATCGCCCTGCTGGGACGGCTGCGTCTCCTGAGGCGGACTCGGAGACTGACTTAACTCACGCTTCGGTTGAGGGTTATGTGCGGCGACTTGGGCGGCCACTGCATGATGGGTGTGGCTCCAAATGGTGCACCCGGTTGGCGCAACAGCCTTCTTCCATGGACGATGGCGATCTCCTCGCCTGCGCTCTCGCTCCTGGTTGCGGGCAGCTGCTTGGGCGTCTTCTACATGAAGGGTGTGGTACCGGCTGCTGTGGATGGTCGTCCGAGCGAGTCCTTCGTTCTACGCGTCGCAGCTGGCGGCAGTGGCCTGGGCGACTTCTCCTTGGGTTTCCGTGTCCTTCGGGTGGTCAGGTTGAGGTTCAGGTCCCAGGTGGTGGTGACCGTAGCCCTCAAGGGCTTAGTGCCAGCTGTTTATGTTGCGACCGTGGAACACCTAGCCATGGCCCTGGCGCTTTTCCTGGTCACGCTCCTTGCGGTGAATGTGGGCGACGGCTAGGACGTCTTCTACACGAGGGGTGTGGGTCCATCTGGGCTTCTGGCGGCGATTGGTGGCGACGTCTAGGGCGACTACTTCCTGTCTACAGTGGTGTTCCCGAAGGGCGTTCTTCTTCCTGGAATGGATGGCCTGCTGATGGCGTTAGGTTTGGCGAGGCGGACCACCCCGGACCTGGCCGTGGGCGTCAAAATGACCACATGAACCTCTCGGGCATGTTTGACTCCAACTTCCAGGGCACGATTCGCAAGATGATGGAGCAAATGATTCATCAAGCTGTGCAGCAGGCTCTTGTGAAGGCCGGTCTGAGCGGAGAGAGGGTTGCTAGTAGCAACCGTCCTACTTCGGTTTCGCCACGTGCCTGGCGCCGTAAGAAGGCCCGTCTGGCCAAGGCTGCTCGCAAAGGGCAGGTGGCTGGGGGCTCGCAGCGAGCTCAGGCGCCTTTTGAGGCGAACAGTCCAGGTCAGGCACCTTTTTCGTCTCCTACTCCAGGGGTCAAGGGAAAAGGTGGAGGCAAGGGCCAGGGAAAGGACCAGGGCAAGAGTGCTCCGTCCCCAGCGGCGGCGCCTTCGACAGGTGATCAGCACGGTTCATGGGTGCAGGTTTGCCGTAAAGGTGCTAAGAGACAGGGCGAGGTACTTGACCAGGAGCTGGGCAGGCACAAAGCTTCTGATTGGACAGGGCCTGTCGTGACAACAGCGGCTGAGCTCGAGCATCTGATCACGCAGCAGTCTGACCTCAAGGCCGTGGTTGCGATGCCCGGCACTGCTGAGGCTGCAGAAACAATCTGGGAGCTCCTAGGTGCACATGCTTCGCTCGATGTTCTGTTCATTTTCAATTATCGCACGCATGATGGCTTTGCTGAGGAAACGAAGTCTTCTTTAGGGGTCAGCCCGGATAGGCGGTCCATCCCCTTGCATTTTGGATCAGGTCTGCGATTTGTGCAGCGGTTCAGCTTGACTCGTGGCAAGGACTTTCCCAAGCCCAAGGTGCTTGGCATGGCCATTGAGGCTCCGTGCACTGCGAAGAAGGACTCCGTTGTGTTAAGGGCCATGACACGCCGTGGTCTGGTTGGTCAGTGGGACGAGGTCTCTAAGGGTCCGGGCAAGGCGTTAAGGACTTGGCTCATGCGCATTGACAGCAAGCTCTCCCCTTCTCTTCGGGATTCTTGGGGCTGGGAGCTCATCGGCAAGGACGATTGCAAAGGACTTGTTAGAGTCGATAAGGCTTCGGCGCTGGCTTTCATCAAGCACAGTGGCTCGCTCGAAGCCGGGTGCAGGTGGTTCTTCGAGCCTCTTCGTTGGGAGGCGCCGCTTCTTGACGTTCCACCGGTTGTTGATTGGATTGAGGCGACCTCCCTTTCAGCAGCTGCCACTCAGGCTGTGGAAAAGGCCAAACGCACTGGATTCGGGGTAATGCTGGGCCGCAGACAGGTCGGCGTCCGAAAAGCTAGAGACTCCAAGAACGAGCAGTCCACGCAGCGTCGCCGTCTGTGGAAGTTCTTAGGCGCGTCTTTCGAAATGGGGGCAGATGACATTCGATCGCTCGCTGAAAAGGCTGGGTTTCTTGATGTTGAGCTTGTTGAGCAGTTTAAGTGGAGAAGTGCTGTGGGGTGGGCGCTTAGGGCCACTCGTGCTGATGATTTCTCTCACATGGCGCTCCAAGTCCAGAACCGCACCATTCAGGCCTCATGTCAGTTTGGGCGAGGCGACCGGCGGCTTCACACCGCCATTGCTCCGGAAAAGCGCGTTCTCTTTAGCTCTGGCCTTGCGCCCAAGGTCGCTCAGGTTCCTTCAGGCCTCTTCCAGACCAAAGCTGGCTTCGGGCCTCCGGTTGAGCTTCAGGGTGCTGCCATCCCCAGTGAGGAAATGAAGGAGGAGGGTGGTGATGCCCACAAGCGGCCAGGCGGGTCGTCCAACGGCTCAGTGGCGAAGAAGCTTAAAGTCCAGGAGACTGCTGTGCCGGCCGGCTTGGAGCCGGTGCCCAACACGGGGCAAGGGAACTGTTTATTTTTAGCTCTCTCCGATGCTTTCGGCTTGATTGGCCAATCTCGCGGTCAGGCTGTCTTGAGAGCATCTGCCGTGGCGCATTTGCGCAAATATCGCGATGCTTATGTCGGAGTTTGGGACAAGCGAACGCCAGATGAGCATGAGACGGAGATGGACGACTTTGAGCGCTACCTTGACAGCGTCGCTCTGGAAGGGGCATGGGTCAGTGCGTTGGAGATCACGGCGGTCGCCAACACGCTTGACGTGATGATCCGAGTGGTCACTAAGGATGGCACTTATGTGTTTAACCCTAAAGGCCACCGGGGCAAGCTTTCATTACGGTATCATGCACGACATTATGAGGCATTGCGAGGACAGGTCGATCATGCGTGAGGTCGATTGGGGCAACATGCTGGAGGGACCTCGTGTCGGCCTTCGGGCTGGCGCTGGCGGCGAGTCCCTCCAGCATGCCCCAATCGACCTCGCGCATGACCTGTCCTCGTGCGGAACTGCTCCGTCGGTTCGTACCAGGGCGTCGCTGAGGCTCCAGCTTGGCCACTCCAATGCATGCACTCCGCGCAATGAGGCTCGCGGTGCGTCCGAGACTGGCGGCTTGGCGACGAGCAACACTTGTAGATGCGGATGGACGGTGCCAAAGGCTGTTGGACGCGATGACAAGAAGCCTGGCGAGGCTCGACGCCGGCATTGGCTCCAATGCAGCCTTTGTCTCGAACCATATGCCCCCCGACCGATGAACATGTTCGGAAATCAAAAGCCTTTGCGAGGGCAGGTCGCCGTTCAGCTTTTGCACAGAAAGCTCGCCTTGGTGCGCGCTGCGAAGGCCTCTTGGACTCACGACCTTGAAATCCATTCAACGGTGCCCTCGTCTTGGCCGGGACGCCAGCATGTTCTGCAGAAGGGCAACCGTCAAGGCATTGCTCGCTCCGGCAGGCGTTGCGTTTGCTTGGCTTGTGGCAAAGTCAACGAACCGTCCTTGCTTTTGCGCTCAATCTAATCTGTCCCCTGTCTCAGGCGGGAAAGGGTTTGGTAGCTGCTCCGAAGGAAGCTGAGAGGATCGCCATCGTGTCGGGCTGGCACAAGACAGCTTGCAGAGAGCAGTGCCAGTTGTCTGGCTCTAAGTGCAGTTTGAGGAAGCTCAAGCGGAGAGACGCTGCTAAGGGCAAGACGCTTCGCAAGGGTGTCCTTCGTCGGCCTGCTGCCAGAAAGACGATCTCCAGGGCCTGACGTTCCTGGGTCTGCGCTGTTCCTTGGTGGATGGCGTGGACCCAGCTTTGTCGGATAGGGGAAGCCGCTAATCCGGGTCCTCCCGGTGTCAGGATCCTTTCTTGGAACTTGGGTAGTCTCCACACGCAAGGTGATGGTCTCGCGGAACTCCTGCTCCGTCACAGCGTGGACGTGGCATTGATTCAGGAGCACCACATCCCTGAGAACGGCAGGCATCGCCTGTCACGTGTTTTTCGTCAAGCAGGGTGGCAGGTGTTCTGGGGACCTCAACGGTCTTGTGGCTACGGCGAGGCCGTTCTTGTGCATCGCAGATTCTCTGCGGCTTTGCTCCAGAGCGATTCTCGCGAGATCTGTACTGTGGCTCTGCGCATGGCTGGAGGTCGCATGATGCGAGTCGCCTCCATCTACGCTCCGGTTCATTCCCGTGGCACCCAAGAGGCTTTCTTCGCCGAGCTGGCTTCGTGGCAGGGACGACCTGGTCTGTGGGTCGCTGGAGGCGATTTCAATTCCGACCTGCTCTCTCAAGTTCCGTGCAGCGGTCATGCGGCCGTGCCGCCAACGAACACTTGGAGACGATCTGTCCAGCATGAGTGGTGCTCGTCTCTCGACGGATTTGTCACTTGTGGGGCCTTGAGGCCCGTCGGCGCGGTTGCTGCGCTGCAGGAGGAAGTTGTCACCCAGCATGCTCCGGTGATCTGTACGGTGCCGGGTGAGATTCGTGAAGAGTTTTTGCTGGCCTGGGCGCTTCCTAGAACGCGCCTAAACCCGTGGACGCTGGATGCTGATGAGGCCTTCTTTGCTGCTTTACGCCGAAGGGATGCTGATTTGGCTTGGTCTATTTGGTTGGACTGTGCTTTTGGGCTTCGCGGCGATGAGAGTCCGTACGTCAAGGCTTCCTGCTCGGTGGTTCCTGGCCTAGGTCGAGACCGTGATCAAGTCCTCGCCGCCATGGGTGCGCTGGGGCGCATGTGTGCGTGGGGCAGTGAATGGGGCTGGACCACAGAGCTGCACGAGAAGTATGAGGCAGGCCAGGCTGCTCTTCACGCTCTGCTAGCTCAGCGCCGACGTGACGGCATTAACGACTGGAAGGCTCGTGTTCGCGACCTTAGCTTGGCTTCTAAGTGGGTTAAGTCTGGTCCCGCCAAACCGTTTAGGCTTCTCAACGAGGATGGGTCCATTGCCATCACCCCTTCTGAACAAGGGCGCGCGGTAAAGGCGGAATGGCTGCCCCGGTGGACTGAGAGGAGTCCGGCTGCAGTCGCGGCAGGCGTCTCGGCTGCGGGCGTCTTCGCTGAGGCCCTCACTGCGCGAGCTTCCGAGTTTCCCAGGCCACCGCCATGGACTGTCGGCGACATTCGAGCTCAGATTCGCAACAGTGCTGCAGGACTGGACGGCCTTACATTTCAGCACTACCGTGATCTGCCTGATGTCCATTTGGAGAGGCTCGCGGCCCTCTATTCGGAGCTGGATGCTGGGATGCAGTTTCCTAGGGCTTGGCAGGCTGCGCGCCTTGTATGTATACCTAAAGAGTCCGGAGATGCTCGACCTTTGACTGTCATGCAAGTCGGGTACCGGCTTTGGTCGGCCAGATCTGCCTCCTTGCTTGGCCAATGGGCTTCTTCCTGGATGCCTCCGGAACTGATTGGAGGCCGAAGGGGGAGCTCCTCCAGCCGTTCATTCAGCCAACGAGGTGTCGTCCGTGTTGGCGGTGGCCTACCATGAACAGAGGCCACTGACCGGGGCATCCCTCGATACCGAGAAATGCTTCGACTCGGTCAGTCTTGAAAGCGTTCGATGTCTTCTCCGTCAGGCTCGAGCTCCTCTGTTCATGTTTCGCGTTGTTGATCTGTGGGAACCGCTGGAGCGCCACGTGTGGCTGCTGGACGGTCCGACAGGCATCACGATTCGAGCCGCTCGCCAACGTGGTCTACCCCAAGGGGATCCGCTGGCCCCTTGGGCCTTGAATTTAGTGATGGCGACTTGGATATGGGCACTGCCGAAATTGGACCTCGTCAGGGTTTTCCTCGATGACAGGTGCTTGCTCCATCGACGGGTGGAGGTTCTGGCCGAGGGGTTGCGCATCACGAGAGCTTTTGACGAGGCTTTCGGTTTGACTGTTCACCCTCGGAAATCATGTCGGTTTTATGTAGGCGAGGCCCAAGAAGACCCGACGCACTACTGGTCATGCTTGCCTTTGAAAGTTTCTGTGAAATACCTCGGAGTGCAGCTGGAGACTGATCCGGGAGGGTCTCTGTCCAATGGCGATGCTCGTGCTGAGGCTGTTAGGGCTAAGGTCGTTCGTGCTCGCTTGCTTCCCCAGCCTGAGGTGCGCAGGACATTGGTTGCCAGTTACTTGCAGGGTCTTTACGCTGAGGGAGTCATGATGACGCAACTGGCCTGCGACCGCCTTACTACGTCGGTAGTGCAGGCTTGGTGGGGGCCGACGCTCAACAGTCGTAACTACATGCGTAGTGAGGCCTACACTCTAGGTCTGCTGGCTCCTCTTCATCGCATGGCGCCTGTGATGGTTCAGTGCTGGTCCACGGTTGTTGCTCTTGCTAGGCTTCTTGTTCAGAACACGCTGCTTGGTCAGGGTATTTGGCGGGCTTGTTTTCAGGAACGTCGCTGTATTGGGTTTGCCAGGCAGGTTAGGAGGTGTCTTCTTTTCCTGAAGTGGCAGTGGGCTTCTTGGGACACGCTCATAGATTCCTTCGGCCATCGTCTTCATTTACCAGACCTGGCGTTGCGCAACGCTAGAGGCGACAAGGCGAAGCATATCTGCAGGGACCGGTTGCGGGCCTTCTGGTGGCAGTACTGGGACTCGTCTCGCATAGCTCATGGAGGCATTCTTTCTGGGGTTGATCGAGAGCGTTCCTTGCAGCCCCTGCAAGCTCTTCGGCTACGCAAAGGAACCTTCGGATGGGATGGCACTGACGCAGGAGCTCGCTACGCAAGATTCCTGGCAGATGCTCTCTGGTCGCGGAATCGCAGGAGGCATGCGGGCAAAGTTGAGTCTGCTCGGTGCTGTCGCTGCGGAGTTGAAGATGAGCGCACTGATCACTTCCTCTGGGGCTGTGTGGCGAACCGCGAGGCCGCTGGTTCCAGCAGCTGGCCCGCTGAATGGCTTCCGGATGCCCTTCCGCAGTGTCTTCGGCAGTGTGGCGTGGTCCCGCAGGTGTCTGGGCGCGAAGAGGCTCCTTGGACGGATGGGCAGCTGGCGGCGCTGCAGCGGTACTTCGTCACTGTACTGCGTTGTTGGGCGGCTGACAGGGATCAGGATGCGGATTGCATTCCGGCCCCCTTTGCAGGCATCGTGGCGTGAGGAGTTCTTCTTCGTCCTAGCGGTCGTCGCCTATGAGAGGGTGGCCCCCTCTTTCTTTCTATCTTCCGAGAGCCCTGCATGTTCCACGGGATGACACTCCAAAGCTTGAATGCAGAGAAAGCCAAGCCTCAGAGACCGTGGCCCTTATGTGGTCAATGTGCGGAAACTTGAAAGCTCTACAAGCCTCGAGCGTTGTGACCCTATACTCTGAACGTTTAAAATATGGGCCTGAACAGTCAATATTTTTGGCGACACATAATGTCACATTGTGGCTGTGGCCCTAGATCAATAGTATAGTAGAGTATAGTAAGATTACATAATGTTTCTGTATAGTACGTACAGTACGGATAAACAACCAGATGTGTAAGCATATCGTAGGTACGTAGGTATGTATGTATGTATGTGTGTATGTGTGTATGCACGTATGTATGTATGTATGTCCATATGTATGTATGTATGTATGTATGTATGTATGTATGTGTATACACACATACACCCGAAATCTAAGTCTAGCATGAACTTTCATCCCATCTCAGACGTCGGTGTTTGATGCGCAGCTGCGCTGCGATGCTTTCCGTGTCGCGAGAGTTTCGACGCCATTGCCCTGCGGAGGTGCGGAGAAGGGATGGTTCTTCTTTAGGTTCCATAGGCCTTCAGATCGATTTTTCAGGTTTCAGAGAGTTTACAGTTCTGCGCAGTCAAAGTTTCCTGCGGGGTTCTTGAAGGGCCTGCAGCCTTCGGGGGTGTAAGAGTTCACGGCACCAGCCCAACCAACCCAGACATGTTCTGTAACCCACACAAAGCCCTCAACTCCTAATTAAACCCGAAAGCTGAAGCCAAGCCGCACACTCAGGTGGACATGCTCCCTGTCCTTGATCTCTCTGTGCCTTGGCGAAGATCCAAACAAGTCTGCTTGAACCCGCGGCCTAAAAGCCCGCATTGCAGGCAGCAATCAACCCAAAGGTCCGAAGGTACCCAGTAGGATTGGGAGGTCTTCAGGATAAATGCCCCGAAGCCCCGAACCTATCCTGAATCTTAGTGCCTGGAAGCAACTGACATGCGACTCCGGGTTGAGCTTCGGCGTGAGGCATCAGCATTTAGGTCTTCTGGGTTTGCAGCGCAAGGCCTTGCTTTAGAGACGCTGGGACCTGACCCACAGGACGTCAACACAGTAGCTGGCTGGCGCAAGCTGCGGCAGCTGTGCACCGAGTGGGGCAAGTTCTATCACCTTCGAGTACGTGCATTCTCGGCTTCTTGTCTGAAGCTCTGGCATTCCGAAGGCCTGCAGCCAGGGGGTCCGAAGTCACCACTGCAGGGTTCCTTGGTTGGGAGTGTCGGCTTTTTAAGGCAGAATTGTCAAGATGATTGAACATGCAGTTTAATGCTGGCGCACCTGTTTTCATTCCCATTGAGGCTAAGGTGGATGTAGCAGCAGAGACTGCACGCGAGCCTTCAGCCATACCTGCAGGGAACCCGATCGACCCAACAGCAAGGAAGAGCATACGAACAAACTACGAAATTATCTAGCTCTTCTCGAAACCAACAGAATTTAGGCGTGGATTTTCGTCTTGGCGGTTCAGGATCGCCGCGTAAAGGCCGATTTGAGGCGTCCTGGACAGTATTCTGAGCTATATTGGTTGGGGGGTGCTCTTTAGGGTCTCGACCTTCCAAGGGTTACCGCCTAGGCATTCAGTTATCCTTGCCTAGCCTCCTTTGAGTCTTGAGGCCGAGTTCTTCTTTTTCCTGCTTGTCATTCTTGCTGACATCATGGCTGGCATGCTCATCCAGGAAGCTCCCCCAGGGGGCCGAACTGTGTTTGCTTTCCGGCTTCGAGTTTCGAGTTTTGGGAAGCTGTGCCGGGCTCAGGGTCAAGGCGAAGTATTGAGGGTTTCAGGAAGGTGACAGACTTCAGCACGTGTGGTACCGGCTTCGACAAAACTCGGGGTTCGAGATACTCCGGGATACGCTTTTGTTAGTGTCGGAGATAAACAGTACCGACCTGCAACTCCAGCTTCTCACTCAGGGTTTTTTACGGCTTTTATAGGGGCTTCAGGATTTAGGCATTCGTTTGAGGCCCAAGAATACTCTGTCCGGTCAAAGCACGCGGAGCTCCCGACGTTCCAGCAGTCCACCTTCAAAAGCCCTGCTCATGTCACCTTACATTGGTACATCCCCGCATCCGAACCCCTAATCTCTCCAGGACTACACCGAGTTCAGTGGAGTGAATTTGGCCTCGCTTGTCGTCACCGGCACCGTCGCTTCTTCTCCAATGTACGGCTGTAAAGGCTTTTTATGATATTGGGTATCTTTTTGTGCTCGGCTTTAGGTTGAGTCAGGTATGCTAGAGGCCGGGGGTGTTGGGGCGTGGAGGTAGAGCAGGTGTGCTCATTGCCATCTCCTTGGCCCCAACCCCAACCATGAAAATTCTAGTCTAGAAGCCTTTCACTGATCTTAAACCTAAGGCTCAGATTCCCTTTGCTTGATCTTCTAAAAGCAGGTGGGAACCCGGCTGCGGGAGTCTGACACTTTCCTGACAGCGTAGCTTTCGCCAGAGCCTCAAACAAGAAAGCATACAGTAGCTCTCAAACCCGAATCCCCGGACCTGCCAAATCTCGAGCCGAGAATGCTGGGTTGTGCAGTCGCTCAGGTCAGCATATCCCTGATGGTGTCCATCTTCGTCCTGGTCTACCTCGGAAACGAGGCAGCCCGAGCAATGTTGACGGTATATGCGTACAGCCCGAACAACTCTAATTCCCGAAGCCCTTTGTAAATCCTAAACCCTTAAGCCTAGAACTCACTAACTCCACCGGCCTGAACAACAAGCTGTGACTCCTAAAGCCCCTAAGCCCAGGAGTCCTGCTCCAAGCCTTCGGATCTCAGGTTCTCAACCCCAAACCTCACATCCCTGAGTCCCTGCACGGAAACTCACAATTTTTCCCCACAAACCCGCAACATCAGACAGCCCAGCAGCAGCCTGCACCATCCTCGCAAGTCTGAACGAGCTACAGCATGAGAAGCGGGTCCAGCACCAAGGGTCCTTTGAGGATTCTGTTAAAGGCTCCCGTAAACGAAGGGTTGCTATACCGTCCCCAAACCAAACATCTATCCTCAAGGGCCTCTAATAGTCTAAAGTGGCCAAGTCTTCGGATGATCACTACATTGATAGACTGGGAGCAAGGGCAACACCCCCCAAACCTGTTTGTAAAGAAGCAAGCCCTGCCCTAAGGGCTCCTTCATGGGTTTTTCACCCAAGAGCTTGAGATCCGGTCTCAAAGCCCCAAGCGCTTAACTCAAGACACCCAAAGCCTAAACTTTGAAGGGCTCTTGGAAGCGTGCCCCAGAGGTTAGAAGCCGAAGCTGGACTGGTTGCAGGGGGTTGGAAGAATTTGAAGGCTCAGTACTAGGACCTTAGAAGGGTTTAGGGCAGACGGATTTGAGGCTTTAGGCCCTCGGAGGTCTAGGGTTTGGGGCATCTCGGCTTTGCTCCGATGCCAGGCCCAAAACCGATTCCGAACCCCCTAAACCCTAAACCCCAGAGCTCGTCTAAAGCAGAAAGTCAGCTCAGGTGAATCAGTCGGCCGAGTCCTGTCTGCTGTTGCGCGATTTGGGAGAGGTAGAGCGTATAGGGTCGGGAACCCTAAACCACTAAACCCTAAACTGCAGGGTTTAGGACATTGAAGGCGATGGCCACAGGCCTCAGTGGTTTAAGCTTGAAGGGTTTGGGGAGAGGGTTCAAGGCAAAATCCTAATGATTGGTGGCTGGCTTTGACATTCCTTGCATGCATGTGTCGTCTGTTGCTTCAGAGGAGTTTGCGGCACTGGGATGTAGGAGGCAGACGCGAACAGTCGAGAAAGCACATGTGGCTCTAGGGGATAACGAAGCAAGGTCGATATTTGGGTCCTTGGCCATACTGAGGAGCGTCATCGCTTCTTGCTGCACCGATCACGGACCCTTATGACAAGCATGAGATACAGAACGCCACTCGGCATTCTTTCTGAAGCCATCCCCCCAAATAGACTTGGGTATGGAGTTCAGGTTGTATTTGCGTAAAGGTTTCTGGGTTTGCGGTTTTGAGGTGATGCTGAGCCGCACTGTGTTCCGGCAGCCCCGACTAGCCCGGGAGCCTTAAACCTTGACTGGTCGGGCTACAGTAAGTGTAATCTCTGGCTAACTTGTCTAAACTGTTCTGTCATGGGTTCCCAACACAAACATCCTTCAATCTTCCACGGAAAGAAGTGATAGTAGAAATGGCTTGGACAAAGGTTGTGAGTCAAGTTGTGAGCATGATGTCTGTGGGCCCCTAAACCCGCCTCTGCACTGCTCTCTTTCCCGGGCAGGAGCACCTGCATGATGCCCAAGATGTCGCAAGCTGTCACTGGTGCTCCTGGGCGCGCAAGTCCAGAAGCATGCACCTGGTGGTCGATAATCCGAGGGTTGGCGTCGAAACACCAAACACTTAAGCTTAAACCGCTTCTGTGTAGAGGTTCGTCTTTTGGGAATGAGGCTTTTGCGCTGGGGCTTTGACCTCCTCAAACAAAAATGCTGCGAACCATTGCATGGCTCTATCTTAGTTAATTCAAGCGTATAGACTGGAATCTTTAATCCCTGAGGTTAGAACCGAGAAAGAAACCCAGAAGCACAACTCCTCTCTGGCGATCCTATCCCAGGTCATGCCACCTGATCCAACTCCCATGGAACTGGAGCAAGCTTCTGAACTCATCAGCTGCCTAGGCCGCTCGTCGGATGTCAAGATCTTAGGATCCATGACTTGAAGAGGCGCTCTCAGTTTCACGCGAATGAAGCCTGGGGAAGGACCCTGAACTCGAGTGCAATCTTGACCGGCAAGTTTCTAGATGAGCCTTCGACCCCTACATCCCAAGACGAGCTAGGGCTGAGCTCTCAACGTCCGCCCCCCCCGGGCCGAAAGCCCTAGCAAAGCCCTCAAGACTGGTGCCAGAACCTTTCTTATTCTAGTGCTCTGGACCCAAACCTCCCCCAAGAGAGCCCAAAAAAGGCGATGAACTGGAGTCCGAGGGGAAGGTCTTGCCGCTGACACTGCTCGGCATGCCCTTAGGCTGGTCGTTGCTGCTTGGCTGCGGGGGCGGTGCGGCTGCATGGTTCGTAGCTTGCGGTTTAAGTTTAGGGTTTAGGGTTTAGGGTAGATAGTCCGGAGATCGTCGACGCTTCTTCACTTCTCGTGTTTCTCTCACTCCCGCGTTTGCATCCCTCGTCAAACGAGAAGGCCCTGCTGTTGAGGAGTGTTCGCTGGCACACAATCCAAGCCCATGCTGAAAAGGGTTTAGGGTTGAGGGTTGGCTTGGGGTTTAAGTTTGTGCGGCGGAGGGAAGAAGGCCTAAGCCCTAGAGCGTGAAGGGTTTCAGTTTTTTAGTTTCAGGATTGATCGAGGGCTTCGGCGGCTGCTTAGGGTTCAAATCTGGCGGTTGAGGGACGCGATTCCCAGGCTTCAGGACATGGGCTTCTGGTGTGTACAATAAATAAAAGTTGTATCCCTCTTGCGGGCCCTAAAGCATAAGGGGGTCGATCCTGCAGTTGCTTCGCTCCCTTTCGGGACTTGGAGCGGTAGTTCGGGGTCAACATCGGGTCTCGAGGAAGCTTTGGTTTGCTTGGAGGCTAAATCGCAAACCAATGAGCTCAATGTCCAAAGAGCATATTTTTTGAGGTCCAAGAAAGCTTAGCACTGTCAGCATTAAATCACCCTTAGGTTGGGTAAGGCTTAAAGATCCTAAACTCTTAATTCCAGGCCCGACGCACTGATGTGTTCATGTTGCTTTGATGAAGGTAGTAGTCCAAATCGAAGTCTTTGGACATTGGAGGTGGATATTCTCCCCCGTACCGTGCTTCTTCAGTTTGCAGGCTTTCGGTTTCTGCTGCTTTCCTACAACAGCTCCTCGGTTCCCGAAGCGGGCTCGTCATGACTGTGAACCATAGAAGAGGTTTCAGGATGGCATTGAACTTCATTTGGAAGACACTGCAGCCCAAAACTAAGGCCACAAACCCTGAATGCCCAAAACGTGCAAATCCGCAAAGCCGTATATGTACACACCCGAAAAATCTTGCAAGATATGTTGCAAGCTTGGAAGTCCGTATATTAACAAAGACCTAAAAAGAGGCCGAACCACTTCAAACACTACAAGACCAATGCAGCTGTAGTACCGAAGGCTTTCCGTGTTGCAGTTCATCCCGATCGGTGTCATGCCACTGGGCACTCCATTCACCCGGCTTAGGGCTTAGGGAAGAGGATCAGGATTTCAGTGTTTACGCATAGCGACCCGGAGCCGCGATTCATGCCCCAAGACGTCCGTGAGACCGTGGTTGGTGGGTTACGTACTCTCCCTTTGGGCCGTCGAAGCGGCCGTGGGGTTGTCCTGGCCTGTGACGGGGAACGATAAAGTGTGAATCCGCCGTTCCGAGGGGTCAGAGTTTGTTCCCCGCAGCCGCAGTGGTGCCCATGCAGTCTAGCAGGTAAGCGTGGCACGGTCTCTTGCGGTTCATTTTTCAGAAGGAGTCAGTCTTTAGGTCATGGAGCTCAAGAAGCCAGGTCCAGGTAGTTTAGTGGTGGGTTTCCTTGCCTCCCAGATGAGTAGACTTGTTATTCCGAAGCACACAGGACTACGCTGTTGCAATTCTGCGGGAATGATGCGACAGCCACTGGGACAAAGTCAGATGCGGTTCCACATCTTTCCCAGCGTGTCCCCAGAGCAGACACGCCCTAATCTCCAACTCGCCCGTAGCCAATCGCCCTGACTCTCTCTCGAGTGAGTTTAGGCAGTAAGTGAGTGAGAGAGGGTTACAACTTTAGACACCTCTACTGTTCGCCCTTGGACTTACAAAAAACCTGAGCACCAGAATGCTAAGCAATTCTTGGTGGCATTTGGGTTCGAGTGTTCTGCTGTTTTGGGCGTTTAATCTCAGTGTCACTGTCCGGTTGATTTAGGAAAATGAGTCGCAGCCCTGGATGTCGTTGTTCTTGCTGAAACTGTTCTTGGTATGATTTTTCTATTGCCCAGCAGCATTTTCTTGAGGCCTTGAGCACCGTTTATCATCTGCAAGGAATCACGCTGTTGTAACGGAGCCACGTGGACGCCTGTGTTCTCATGTGCCGGTGCCCTGCACCATCCCAATCGGAGGCTCCACAGAAAACACTGGCCCCGAAGCTTCAGACCTAACCTTGAGCCACCTGTTACCTGTTGGGGCCGGCATGGTCGAGTCCTTTGTCGAAAAAGTGCCCAAGCGCGAAACAGTAAAGAAGGTCTGCACAGCGCGATCTGCTCGGAGCATCCTTCAGGGACCGTGAAAAGGCTTTGGTCTTTCGGCGAAAGACATCCTCAAGGGAAACACTAGCAGAGGCGTGGAGCATGGAAAGCTTAGACTGTGTAGGCAAACCAATGGGAAGTCCTTACAGACGCTCTCGAGTGCAAGATTGGAAAGCGTAAACCCCTAAACCCTAGAACCGTAGGTATCGCAAAGCAAGAGCGTGCAACTACGGAACACAAAAGCACAGCACGCAGACTTTTGGCCGAAGACGTCCCGAGTGCAGAACTGAAATATGAAGAGCGTTGGGTGGCCTTGCGTAAAATAAGTACTACCTATACTATTTTGGGGGTTCCTTATTATAAGTATAGTATACTGGGCCCCAAAACCCTGTTCTAATTTTTAAGGCCCCTACATTAGGGCACAAGAAGCACTCAGCCCACAGTGTGTTGGGCAAGCATGCCTACATCTGAACCCTCCCTTCATTGCGTGTAAACCCGAGAACTCATAAACCCCAAACCCTAAACGCTAAAGACCTAGAGCCCCTAGTCTCAAACCAAGGCCGATCGATGCGTGAACTAGCAGACCACTGGCGAGCCGGGAGTTGGGACCAGTTGTTGTGAGGCAGCAGATTTGATATGTTCAAGCCGTCAGAGACAGCTGTCAGGGGTTTAGGGTTCTCGTTTTTGGGGTTTGCAGCTATAGTAGTCTGTTTCAGGCTAGAGGTCTGGAGCTACTTTCAATTTTTTTGGATGCAGTGATCGAGTTTCCTCCGAGTGTCTGGGTTCGGAACTGCGCCCAAGCCACACTGTTCGCTCATGTCCCCGGAGGGGATAGCTCTCCCAAAGTAGGGAGCGTGAGACTTGGATGTTGATTCATGTACCTGTGCAAGGAAGTGAGAAGTGCGTCACTCTTGAGAATCAAGAGTCGCGCGAGCCGTGTTCCAGGAAATGTATGCGTTTCATTTTCTATGCTCAAAAAATCATTGTACGCTGACGGAGGGATGGAAAGAATCAATGTTTGAAAGTAGAGAAATAAGATTCAAAAGATCAACTGAAATAAATTCAAAGGACTTCGGTTAGTATCCTTCTAAAGATTTCCGTTCCTGAAAAATGAGGATAATATCAAATGATCCTCAAATCATGATTACTAAATAGTGTGTATGTATGTGTATATATATATATATATAAGTCAGAAGAGATCTTTCGATACTTGATATATGTATATACACAGCGGAGCAGAACTAGTTAGTAGAATATTTCAACTTAGATTCCATATTTTCAATAAGTATGCAACATTTGAAACAAAACACTGTTTTTATGTTGAGATAGGTAAAATGTCTTCATTTTCTTATGTAATCTGATGCTTTGACATATCGTAAGAAAAATTGAGAAATTGGAATTATGTAACGAATGAGCTAATCTTCTTGATATGAAGGCTGGGCATGTGAATATCTAAAATATATTGGATGAAGTCTCATCGTATAACTGTATTCTTGAGATAATTTCGTATAAACTATGAGCAAACAGACTCAAACAGAAACATTCCTTAGTATATACGCTCGACGGGCGACACAGCAAATAGAATATCGCAACGTCTCCAATGTGCGCCGCATCTCGCAGAATCTCTTAGAGTCAGCGCTTAGTGGCGTTTACAATTTCCAAAGGGGTGTTCCCGTATGCGCGCCGCATTCTGCAGAGCCCTCTAGAGTCAGCGTTTAGTGGCGAATCCCGTCTTCTAGAGGGGTGTCTGTGTTGCGTGTGTTGCGTGTGTTGTCTGTGTTGTTTGTGTTGTCTGTGTAGTCTGTGTTGTGTGTGTGTGTGTTGTGTGTCTGTGTGTTGTGTAATTTGTGTTTGTTGTGTGTGTGCGTGTGGGGTCTGTGGTGTGTGTGGTCTGTGTGTGCGTGTTGTGTGTTGTGTGCGTTGTGTGATTCTCCGTAGGTACGTTGTGTGTGTTGTGTGATTCTCCGTAGGTACGTTGTGTGTGTTTGTTGCGTGCGTTG